CTAAAGTCTTTTTTTTTCAAATTTTTGATTTGGTTTTTCTTCTAGACCTCAGCCTGTAGAAGCCTAAAATTTTAGGAGCTTTTAGACATTAACAAATAGTTTATTTCGTTAGAAGAAAATTTTTTTCCATCTCCAACCCCTCTCAAGTTATCGCCTCTTGAAATTCGTAAAATTTGAATTTTTGACACCTTATATTTCCGAAACCGAAAGCTTTTTCAAATTTCTATAAACACAAAAAGCTAACGGTAAATTCGATGACATTAAAAAATATAATTATTTTGCTTAACTCACAGAATTAACCCTTAAAATCGAGCATTACATTAACCCCACTTTATATCAATTTTTGCTTTATTTCAAGACTGCATAAATTGTTCATCCTAAATATATGCAATCCTAGAAAGAGTTTTGTATATGAATGAAAATAATTTTTAGAATGTGTGATAGGTATACATAGACTGTATTTAAAAGCAGAATTTTCACTTGTTGAAGGGAAAAGTGCTACAATACAAACCATTGGTTTGACTCAACTTTTTATTTATATAAAAAGCAAAAACACGCAAAAATATGAAAAGATTAAACTTGGTTCAATAGGGAGATTTACAATGTGGTGAAAAAGTAGGTAACTAGGTAAAAAGTAACAGGAAATCATATTGAATTTTTTATTAGATTTTATTTGTTTTTTTTTTTGTCCTTTATTTTTGTGCAAATAAAATTTTCCAAAAAAAAAATAAATTTTGACCACTTTATAAAATCACAATTTCAATTGTAATAGAATTTTTAATATTTTTTATTCATATTTAAAATAAAATAAATTTTATTAAAAAGGATTAAAGGATTTTTCATCTTTAGTCTTAATACCCCAAAAATCTTCAAAATAATACAAAGTTGAAAATTAATTTACGTAATAAGATTAAAAATATGTTATTTAAAAGTTCAAATATTAAAGCGCATTTGCCTTTCACAGAGTTTGCTATAGGTTTCAAAAGTTGCACTTACTTTATTTTAAAATTAAGTTTTAGTTCAAATTCTGTTAAAGAAATTCCATTTAATTTATACTAGCTGTATAATGTAGCATTTGATTAAAATTTTATAATTATGGAAAATGAATTAAACCCTTATTCATTATGGATCCCTCATATTGGAACTCAAAAAATTTATTATTAACAAATCACGTGTTAATACTAGATTACAACATGTTAATACAAAATTACATTTTGACCTTAGTTGATTGCTGCTCAAGCACAAAATTTTGAATTGAAAAACTGAAAATTTTCCAAAAACCGTTAATTATCTCAAAAGAGTTCACTATTTTTTTCGATTTGCTGCATCATTCTCTAAAGCTTTGCTATACATAACTTTCATGACACACGTGTCGTTCCGTTTTGTAGACAAAGTGATAATTTACGTAAGTAATTTTTTCGATACCTGCAAAATAATTATTTCTCTAAAGAAAAATACATGTTTAGTCTAATTTTTACCCGAGTGCAAGTTGCGATACGAACTTAACATAAATAAAAATAACTTATTCAAACGAAGAGGATGCCTTACTGCACAAGAAGAGTATTGAAGAAGATTTCCGTTTTTATAAGAATTCGAGAATCAGGCAGTGAAAGCAGGCGAAATATATTACGATGATGTTTTATACGCAGATACAAAAGGCCGCTTACTTGCGTATACACATAATATTATGTTTATATTGCAAAATTTATTCTGTAAAAGCAGTTTTCAGAAGTTTTGAAACTGTATAATAAATATATAAATGCAAAAGATTTCTAACATTGGATTTTTAATTTTAAATGAGTGATACCTCACTAAAGAACAAGTAGCTCCGGAATTAGAGAGAATCTGGTTCGAAAGAATAATTACTATTACAACCTATGTTGATAAACTTTGATAACATAAAAAATTATTTCTGAGCTATTTGTGTTTACAAAATTTTCAAACGATTTTTGAATTGAAAACTTATGGGATCTGTGCATGGTTGAACAATTGTAACTGGAAGGGGAACTTTTTTCTTTGAAAAAAAAGTGATTTCACTAAGATTTTAAGATTTATTTGTGTACAAAACCTAATTCTGATATCTTAAAGAGAGCAAAAAGAAAAAGAAAAGAGGTTTAGAGAGAGTAAAACACTAACACAAAGCCAATTAGAAATAAAACTTTTGGAAATGAGCTGATAAAAAAAAGAAAATCATTAAATAAGTTTGATTTTCCATTCAATTAACGCCAATATTTTGAACAATGGGTGTAAAAAGAAATAATGGGCGAATTTATAAAAAAAATTCTATTGAGTTTCACTTATATTGAAATTATTGTAAAGAAAAGGAATTATATTGGCAGCTTTTTGGTTAGAAAATTGAAAAAAAATATTAAAAGAATGAGTTTTTTCCTTATCTGAAAGGAGTAAAAATTATTTAAAAGTGAGGAGTTTGAAAAGAAATTCAAACAAAAGCTGTTTTCTACACTTCATACTTTTGTTTTTGCATAAAAGAAAACTGAAGGCAAATCTAGTTATTTCTAATATCTGAGATTTAATTTTCTTAATTAAAATGCCCTTCTGTATGTCCTTTATGTAATCCTATACTGTTAACCCAATCATAGTGAAACTTCGTGAAGTTCTTCAAAAATTTTCCGCGATAGTTTCTAAAAAAACAAAAATAAATTGTTTTTTTTTTTTTAAATATTAACTCTGATATTTTCTATTTACATTTTGGATTTTATTAGGTTTAAAAAGAAACTTATCAAAATACCTACCGTGATTCGTGATCAAAATTCAATAATAAGCAGCGTGCTAAATATTACGAACGTCTTTTGTTGCTGGTTTTCGGCAACAACAAATTCTGTGAACAATTATTATCTGTAGTTTTGAAAAATACTCTTTTCCACTTTTTCTCTTTTCTCTTTTTTATATCATTAGGTGTAAATATTTCTTCACTTTTTAAAATTTCTTCACTTTTCATTTTGAAAACTATTCTTTTTAGTAGCCAATAAATCAAATATGATTTAGTCAATATAATGGACAATATTTTGCATTTTTAAATGGTATTTACAACGATTCTTACTAGCTTCGTAAAACTATTACATGAGCTATTAAAAATGAACTTTGAAATCAATTGCTAGGACCTAGTATTTTTCAAAATTGGTACGACTAATATTTTACAACTCATATACATTTATGTTTTCTTAAAAATCAAATCTACCTCTTTACTCATTTCTGTGCTTGTACTAATAAAAAATAATTACCGATTTTGAATTCCGATTGTTGCGCACAAATTACAAGTCCTTTCAGTCCCTTAATAACAACAGACTCACAATTAATAAACATACATATGACTCTCAATATTCAATTCAGAGCTGTAGATGGGTACAGCTGACTGAAATCGTAATCGCACAGTTTGCTTTATAGACAGTATAAGCAGAAAACAATGCTTTCATTAATTTTATAAATTTCTAAACTAACCACTTGAATAAGTTTTTTTCGATATCTCAAAATATAATTTGTTTTAAAATTAAAGTTGCTTAAGGGTTTAAGGTTAAAAGTGAGAAATATTTTCTTTCTGCAACGAATATTACGGATTCAAGAAGATTGGTTGTCTAAATGTCCTTTACACATTTGATAATTAGCTATTTACCGTACGATAATAAAAATGTACTCTAAATTTTAATGCACAAATTTGTTTTCCCAACAACGTTACACTCTTCAAACGTTTTAGTGCACACAAAAATTTGGACTTCTGTTATCATTTTCTTGCGACACCCAAAAACTTTGATATTAAAAATTTAATTTTTGTTTTTTTTTTTCTTTCATTTTCAGATTCTTTTTTTGGCAATTAAAATTAAAGTTGATTGAAAAAGTTAGAAAAAAACCGGTCTAAAAAATATTTTAAATTTAAAACCAATTTGATAATCGGATATAAAACTTTGTTTCAAAAATGCTTTTCCTTCAGTTCCCATCAGAGCGTTGTCATATTGAAATCATAAAAAAATAAATTAAATAAAAATATTGAAGTATTTTTTTTTATATGGAATTTATTATAAACTTTTGTGAACGAAAATTTTTTTTATATTAAGGAAAACAATATGCGCTCCAAAATATTTTGGATTGCGATAAGTAAGTGTTCTATAAACTTAAGTATATTGAAACTTTTCAAAAAATATTATAAAACAAAATTAATTTAAATTATAAATGTAGTGCTTTGTGAATTTTAAATTATATTCAAATATGAGTGTATGGACGCAATAATTTTAACAAATTTCAGAAATTCGCGGTAAGAAAAATTTAGGACAGCTACACTAACTAAGCCGTTACATTTTTAAGTTGTTTTTTGGAGATTGAATTAAGTTTGGTCTGCTATTGGAATTAAACTATTAATATCATAATATCATTTGCATAAATATAAAAATATTTTGTGTCAAACATATACCAAAAAGAAACCAATACCAATATAAAATGAAATAAAATATTTCTTTAACAAGAACCAAGAAACTCTTTCCAAAATTACCTTGGTTACTTAAATATAATGACAAATTTCAGTTGAAAATGATTAAACTATTATAGTATTTAAAAAATTATTATTTAACTTTACTTAAAATCTAACTTCTAACTTTAGTAGTACTGAGGTTATGTGATGGCACTAAATTTCGAATATCGAGTTTTCGGTGGGAACGCATTTCTCCATAGTAGGGAAGCCTAAATAAGCTATTTCTAGAGAGATTTCGGTCTGTCGGTCTGTTTGTGCACGAGTTTGAGATACACTCGATTCAACTGAACCGATTTTGATGAAATTTTATATTTGACTTTATTTTGACTATGACACGAATTGTTAAACTTTTGGTATATATTAGGTTTTGGAACTGGAGCCGATTTAACATTTTTTACCATATCTACGGAACAGATTGATGAAATTTTTTGAAATTAGATTTTTCAGTTCTGGTTATTACAGAATCTAACTGGTGAACCTTTATTTTCTTGACTTTATTTGCAAAGATTTTTTTTTAACGATGATCGAAGCCACCCGTTTATCACTACTAAACAAACCATTTTCGAATGATAAGGACATTGCAGATCTTTGTCGTTGTCCACCAGGTCCACCTGGTCTGCCAGGAACTCCTGGGACAAATGGAAAGCAAGGTAATTAATAGTAATTTTCAAAAAAAAAAAAATAAACAAACAAGCTCACTTGCATATAATTATGCATTTATGTTGCTAAAATATGAAGAAAGATTTTACGAAAATTTTTTAAGTTTATTGATATTGCTATTTACATATTTTTGTTATATATATAAAAGGTCCACAAGGTTTAGCTGGTCCAAACGGAGCACCCGGAGCCACTGGCGAAAAAGGCCTTCCTGGGATTCCTGGGATAACGGGACCTAACGGTCCCCCAGGTAATGGAACTATAAAAAAAATTTTTATATATGTATATACGTAAACATTTCTATGCATTTTTAAATTAATTTTGAATGTATAGGAAACCCTGGAAATCCCGGTCCACCAGGTCCATCAGGCACCCCTGGAATAAATGGAACACCAGGAGCACGCGGAAACCCTGGAACGGTTGGAGTGCCAGGTAAACTCAATTTATTACTGGCAGTATTAAATGTTTAAAGAAAAAATAATTTATGTTGATTTCAATCACAGGACCACCTGGAGCGACAGGAGAACCAGGTTCTATTGGACAGCCAGGTGAATACTTATTTAAAATAACATAATTTTCAATTCGATATCAAATTTATATTAACAGGTTTACCTGGACCACCGGGAGCTGCCGGTCCAAATGGACCTTCTGGAGCACCAGGAGCAATGGGAGCAACTGGACCTGTAGGTAAGATTAAAATTTTTTCAAATTTATTCAAAAATTACATTATTTACTTGAAAATTTTTAACTTGATTATCCAAATTAAAATTTTTTAGGCGATCCGGGACTCCCTGGAGCACCCGGACAACCTGGAAGTACAGGTAATAATACAGTATAAAAATAATATCTGACATGTCTATAGTTTTCATTATCTAAAAAGGACCTGAGGGTTTGCCAGGGCCACCAGGGCCAACTGGATTACCAGGACTACCAGGTCCTCAAGGAGCTCAAGGACAAACAGGACCTCCAGGCGATCCAGGTACTTACATATTTTTAGTTATTCTTTAAATAGTATTTATATCGGTAAAACTTTTAGGGCGACCTGGCCAACGTGGAAATCCGGGTCAGCGTTTGTTTCGTCGAGTTGATTCTGATGTGAACGAAGAGCTTGATGAAACATTTGTACAACATTATTCAAATGCAGATAATAATAAAGTAATATCTCATGGCCCGAGAGGCCCAGAATATAGTACTGGACATGGAACAGGAACCCATGCGAATAGTCCTTACAATATTTATTCTCAACATTATTATCAAAGTAAACCTGGTAAACATGAGCTGAACATTATAAATTTGAAAAAATTATTAAATTTAATTGTTTTTGGAATAGATATAAGTCAACATACTACATTTAATATGGATCCACAGTCTTTCTTAGAACTGGAAGCCACATTACTTGGTATGAGAGAAACTGTTTCGCAGTTGCAGAAAAATTTTGGGAAAGTTCATAAAAGAGCGATAAAGACTAATGAAACTGTTTTTGATGACGGAAAAGAAGAAAGAGATATTTTAGAAAATTTGAGTTAATTTTGTTTTTATTATACTGTTGTTGATAAATAAAAAGAAAAATTAAATAATTTTGATATGTTAAGCGTTTTCCTCTCATTTACCCTGATTTAAAAAATTAATAGCAATTTCTTTTTTCTGCAATTTCATCCCACATTAATTTTACAAAGAATAATAAGATTGAAGCATAATACAACATAATATGGTATACTAACCATATTAACCACTGAATATGGTTAAAAGACCACCTCTAATTTTTTTAAATAAATTTTTAACAATTCATTATTTGTCAAAGCAATTGATTAGATTAGTTGTACTTGGAACAATCGCAAATTTTTTGTTTACAATAGAACCCTGGATTTTCGTTTGGATAACTAATAGTAAGAACCCTCTGTAAATAAAAGCTTCCAACGGTGCAATCTTTTATATTTTCAAAATCTTAAAAGTTCTTATCCAATCTGATATTTCGCGGACACATTCAATCTGCTCAATGTCGAGATAAAAACTTTTTGGAGAAGCCAGTTTTACAATTTTAATAACGGCTTCTATATTGTTATTCAATAAAATAGAAATATAAGAACCTTTCTTTATTTTTCAAGCAGTTAAAAGTGCTTATTTTATTAAAGTAACCATATCACGCGGCTTTAAATATTGGAATTTAGGTCATTTGCAGTTGTTATGCTACTATTGTCTTCAATGCAATACATTTGCACCACTTTTAACTTCAATCATCTCCTATTTGATTGAACTGTGTCTACGTCGTACAACAACATTGTAATATATGTTTATCAGCATTAGTTTTCAAATAATGTAATAAAACATTATTATTTAATTAGAATTAATTTACAGCTTTTATATACTTAACGTTAATAAATAATTGTAACTCCCAAACTAAGTAGGTAAAGTGCACGTTTTTGCTTCACTCAAATTAGAGATTTTTTTGATTTTTTTATAAGTTTAGTTCAATAAAAATCACACGTGTCTGAAATAAAAAGTTTAATAGTTTTTCCTATGTAAATTTATGCTTTGCATAGATTAAAAAGCAAAACTTAATTTATTCCGATATTAACGGCATTTCGAAAAATTTGTGATTTCCACACTTCTAAAAAATTTTCTAAATATTTTTGTATTGCTCCTTTAAGTTTACGAATTAATTCTTGGCTGAACCAATAAAATTAGAAAAATATTTTAATATTAAAAGTAATTTTTTTATTTAAATAATGTAGCCAGGGTTTTTAATAAAATTATAATGAATATTAAAATTTTATATTAATTTATACTTTCAATGATGGTTTTTTACCTAAAAACCTTATTTTATGATTTTTAAAATCTAAAAGAAATTAAAAAACTTTATGTCTTTTCTATGTTTAGAAGAAATAGAATAAAGAGTTGATTATGATAACGTTGCATAAAATGAAAAAAATACCCGTTATGTTATGATTCTGTTGATTTGATATGCATCGGAAACTCATATTTTTTCAAGTCAATTTGAATATTTAATAGTTTTATTACTCTTCATTAGTAGGATAATTAATATTGATTAGAGTGGAACAAAAACATATTGCGGGAAAAAGAGTTTTCCCGACGGAGAATATTGAAAAACTGTAATACAAGCACTTTCAGGGTCAGCTTTCTTTGTTTTTGCTTGAAATAACTTTTTAATATTTATGAATTTTCGTACAACATATAATTCAAATTAAAGTGCAGGGCAACATACATAATGCGTTTTAAAAACAAAACGTGTTGCGCTGGAAAAGCCGAAAATTATTAGTATATTTCAATGCATTACTGTATTTATGCGGTTATTTTGAGAAATACTTTATCAAAAAAAGTCAAGAAATGTGTTACACTTTAAAACAAAATAATTTTATAAGAAGTTTTAACAGTCACACACAATATAATTTATTTGTTACACTTTGATTAAATACACACATATTGTTCCTACTTTTTAGATCTCGTCTTTGTAACTAAAAATATAAGTATCTATAAATGATTAAAACTTCTACAATAAGATTGTGTCATATCGGTGATTCTAATGACATCAAACAGCTTTCATAATTAAATTTGGTTCCACTCTAAAAAATAGTGCTATATGCACTTCTTTCGAGTTTTGTATTTTTTATTGTTTACTATGAAAATTTAATTTTTCCGAAAAACAAAAATTCGATAATAATTTTATTATCCCCTTTCTTTCATATTTCAATATTTTTTGGCAATTAAAATTAAAATTAATTTTGTAAGTTGAAATTAATTCTGTAAAACCAGTATTTTAAACATGCTTTTGTTCTACATTTGAAATTTTTGGTAATCATATAAAACTTTGCTTCAAAGATGCATTTTCTTCAGTTTAAATTAGAATGTTGTCATGGTGAGAACGTAAGAGTATGAAACTGAATAGAAAAATTTATTAAGTAGAAAATATTTGTAAGATCTATTGTTAATTATAAAAATTATCTTCAAAAAAGAAAATGCTTTCAGGAAAATTCTGGATTACATTAAGTAAGTGAAATTAAAATACAATTAAAAAAAATTTAGTATTTAGTTTAGTAAAATTAAGAAACTACAACTCAATTTCAATTTATAAAAATAAGTGCTTTTTTTTTAAATTTGTGGGAGTCTAAAAATGTGAAATTGAATAAAAAAACTGTTCAAAATTTCATGTTTTATACTTTTAACGTTTTTCAATTTATATACAAAAAATCATATATGTATAGCGTGCTTGGATTGATAAGCGTGTTATTCTTCTTTAAGATTTTATTTTAGCTGTGACAGAAGCTACTCGTTTATCATTATTGAATAAACCAGTTACCCCTGGAACCGACATTCCTGATTTTTGTCGTTGTGCTCCAGGTCCACCAGGCCCTGTGGGAACTCCTGGCAAAAACGGAATAGATGGTAAACTATAATATTTGCTAAAAGATTGATTGAAGTAGACTGTTTTAATTTCTTAAAGGACCTCAAGGTATTCAAGGTCCAAGTGGTCAACCTGGAACACCTGGATTGAGGGGGCCTCGCGGTGATCCTGGTGCTGTAGGACCTGCTGGTGCTCCTGGTAAGACAAACATTAAAATACTTATTACATTTTTTATATTTTCCGAACGAACTTGTTTAACTACTAATTGTTTCTTTTTTGTATTTAATCAATACAGGGGATCCTGGAACTCCAAGTACCGCTGTAGGTCCACCTGGTACTCCTGGAACCAATGGTACACCGGGTCAACAAGGAGCTCCAGGAGCTCCTGGACTACCAGGTATGTGTAATTTCGCTTAAGAAACCATATTATTATATTGATTTTAATTAGGAGCTGCTGGTGCTAATGGGGATCCAGGTGTTGAAGGACCGCCAGGTAATTTTTTAAGACAAAATTCGAAATTCAAATTTAAATAACCAAAATTGACAATATACAGGTGCCCCTGGACCTCCAGGACCTGTTGGCGTAAATGGACCACCTGGCCCTCCAGGAGCTACTGGATCACCTGGAGCCCAAGGTAAATTACTTTGATTTTTTTGGACATTTTAAAATCACTCTTAATATTTCATTAAATGATTAAAGGCGCTCAAGGAGTTCCTGGTCCAGATGGAGTACCTGGAGACCCAGGTAAGCACAATAAGTAAAAGTTTTCATTCAATTTAATCTAATGATCACTAATTCAGCAATTCATTTGCAATTTCCGTTATCATATTTAATTTATTTAAAAACCATAATATGGGTTGATCATTAGTATTATACGTCGAGTGGAATTGTCAATTAACTGTTAATACACCATTACCTAATACTTTTTTAATTGTAAACAGGAGCTGCTGGTTTACCCGGACCACCTGGCGTAGAAGGACCTGTTGGCCCACCAGGACCTCCAGGACCACCTGGAGATCCAGGGCGTCAGGGACCTAGAGGTATTTATTTAACACTATCTTTAATGTCTTAAATAAAAGCATCGATTACACATACGTACATTAATTTCCAGGACCACCCGGAGCACCTGGAGCTCCTGGAACTCCTGGTAGGGTCACTACTAGTTCAAGTGATGAGAATGATTCATATATGCAAAATGAACCAATTCATAACGAAGTATTACCAACCGGCCCAATAGCACCTGGTAAGAAATTTGCAAATTTGAATGAACCCTAATATTTAAGCTCATATACATACAGGAAAATATACTGGAAATCAACATGCATTATATTCTGCTCAAAATTTTGCCAATTCCGAACACCATCCACATCATTCATCTCATCATAGCAGTCCTCACGGAACTTACTCGCAACATTATTTTCAAAATAGACGTGGTAAGACAATTAAATGATTTTGATTAGTTGTGGAAACTTGTTAGGTTTTCTATCTTACATTTACAGATCAACCACCTAATGTAAGTATGAATCCACAATCCTGGCTAGAGCTTCAGGCAACTTTATTTGAAATGAAAGATACTGTTTCGCAATTACAAAGAGCCTTTGGTCAAGTTGATAAGAGGGCAATGGATGAAGAGAGTATGGAACCAGAGGGTAAAGAACTGGAAATAGAATCGGATGCTAATGAAAATTCGGAAGAATTAATATGATGATTGTTTATTAAAAATCACTTGATATAAGTTAAAAATACTGAAGTACGATTTTGATGTTTTTTGCGAAAAAATAAAATCATTTAATGGACAAAGTTTGCTCCTGTATTTAAAATATTTAACAAGTAAATTTTCTTGGCCAAGATTGCAATGTCCTCTAATTTAAAATTAACTCTGTTTATTGAAATAATTTCATCAGAGGAATAGATTTTATAGAGAATGCAAAACCTTCTTTGATATGAAAAAAATATTCTAAACACGTTGCTTAGCAAAAGTTTTAGAAAATTTCGAAAACTTTTCTGTAATATCTCACAGAACCATGTTAAGTTCGCAGGACTGATTTTTAACAAAGTCATCGAACAAAATTGTCATTGTGCTCATTTTAAAGTTACACATTCCTCCTAGAATTTTACGAATTTCATAAAAATTTGAATTAAAAAATATAATTTCTTTTGTGCTGTTATTGTAAGCACAAGTGGTCTGTATTATTTATTTAATAAAATGGATTAGTTTTTGTACCAAATTGTAATAGAGTCTTTGCTAGAACGATGTAGATTGTTTTTTCAATTATTAAAAATTTTTAAAATAAAAAGTGGATAAATTTAAATTATTATCCATGTGATGAAATTTGAAATTTTTAAAATTCAAAAAGGAGCTATAATTAAAAATGTTTATCTAAAATCATTTAATTAATCAAAAATATAGTTTGCACTCTTCTTTGCTGTTTTATTATTTCTAATTCTAATTTTTATAAAATTCAGTTAAAGGACCAAACTAACGCAAATTCGTATAACGAAAATGAATTTACACGGAAAATGTGAATCAAAAAAAAAAAACGTATTTCAAAGGTTTTTTCCCCAACGTACAAGGCGAAATTCTGGTACATTTTTTTTTCTACGTTGAAAGGAACCCTCATATAAATATATCCTGAAATGTTGATTTTTCTTCCTTATATTATCGGATTCTGCTACTACATCCAAATATGATCCAACTATGGAGCACAAAAGATAATTTTTGTGTTTAGTTTTTATTACTATGGATGCTTTTTCCTTTATAGTTGCTTCAACGAAGGTAATTTTCAATTCAAAAAGATGACAATTTTCTTTGATGTTTAATCCATAAAACTTTCTTGAATATTTTATGAATATGCGCGTACAAAATTTAAAACAAAATTTTTTAACTAGAAATGCATTTATTCGGGAAATTCAATATAATTGAACGGATAATTGAAAAATTTATCGAGATTTAATAAATTATGTAACATTTTATAATTAACAACTTTTTAAATAAAAAATTATCTTGTTTCGTTGAATAGGAAAAAAGCATTGCAATTCAAATTGCGTTTAAGATTAAAGGAAAAAAGGACAGGAAGCGAATATTTTTATGAATTTCAAAACTTTTACATGATCAAAAATTTCAATTTTGTTCGATAAAACCAAATTTCGAAAGGAAATTTCAGTTTTTAGTAATTAGTGTTTCTACATGTGGCGTGTGTTGCTCACTAAAAATATGCACAGGAACAGGTTGTTTTCCTTTTATAAACTTTTTCAGTTTTCAATAACACAAAAAACAGTGAATTCTAACAAGAAGTTTGGGCCAGTGAAATGAGAAATTTTATTGGCTTACTTTTTTCATGTTTAAAAGGATTCTTTTTTAATTCTAAATAATGCTCATTAACAAATATTCATTAACATGCTACCTCGCATGAAGTGAAAATAAGAAATAACTCAAGAAAAGGTAGGTTTAACTATTTGGGATTCTATATCAAGTGGTTACCAATTTCGTGACAGATTTACAATTTGATAATTTAGTTCCTTTGGTTAGAAATGAAAAAACAATTTAAAAATTAATGCAAGGGTAAATTAAACTTAAATATTCAAAATAAAATAATAATAAAAAACATATTGGAAATTTATTTATTTTAATTACTCGTTTAATTTCCAGTAGTAATATTAAAACCGCTAAAATATTGAAATTTTTCAAATCAGTTTTTAAAAAAATAAGAATAAATTAGACGATATTAAAATATTGCGGAGATATAAGAAGATATCATCAACTGTTCTTGAATTTCGCCCAAATGTGAATTTTGTATTTTTATTTAACAATATAAAAGACGTTGTATTCGCCTAAGCATCCTGTAGCAAACAACACACACATAGAGTAAGTATTTATCATTAACATCAAAATAGCATTTTTAGAACACTAAAGTGCTTTTTTGATCAAAATTTTCACAATTTACATCAAAAAGTATTCTGAAGGAGTAAAAATGCTCTTCATTTATACAAAGTTATCCACATAAGCTATGTACATTTTGCAAGTGTATTATAAAAATAACAATTAATTTACAATACTAAGAAATTGTGAATTGAAGAGCAAAGTTATACATACTTAGAAATTTGCAAATTTCTTCATTTTGGTATCGCATTTTGATCGCAAATTCCTCAAACCCAAAAAACACAGTCATAGAAACTATTTAGAATAAAAATTGCGACACTTTTAATATGTCAGACTAGCAAATATAATAAGTCAGTAAGCATTGATAGATAAGTTGCATAAATAATCATGTGTTAAATAAGAAAACTTGAAAGCTCTGGTTTTGGAAAAAATAGATTAACCTATAGTCAATTTTACATATTCATATCGTGATTTTAGTGCACGTTACGCCATCTACAATGAATAATCTAAGAAAGGGTGTTAAAGTTATTAATAATATCTAACCATACGGTTATTTGATTACCTATAATATATCATGTGATATATTATAACAATAATTAACGTGAGGCTTAATATCAAAATCTTTATATGAGCGTTTTATTTTGTTAAAATGCTTATTCAAAAGGAACAATAAGGGTGCTTTGATATTTGTTTTTCATGTTTTTTTGGAAAATGTAAGGCAATCAGATATTTCATTTCAGTATTGCATATTGTACTTAGCTTGGCTCTCCTTTATTTTGTCCTGAAAATTTTTGATTGGATGACACTGGAAAACAACAGTAGCAAAGGCACCAAATTTCTTAGTAGAAATGACAAGATATCAAGTAATTAAAAGTTTTTTTAGAGGTTATAGGGTCAACAACAACTCTATATTTTAAAAATTACCTTAAAATACCTTGAAATATTCAACTTCGATCTTCTCGCTTCCTAATTAATAACTTTTTGTTACTAATTTAACAATTTCTTATTACAATATCAATTTCTAATTCCGTCACCTAATTAATATTTTTTAAATGTTACAATTTCAGACTGGTTACTGATATAAAAATATCTCAGTGTTGCATAAATGTTAAGCTTTAGTCATATAAATTTCCCGATAATAATCAATATAAATGTTCCGCGGAATCAGCTTATACCATTTGTATAATATCTCAAAGTTACATGATCAACTGTAGATCTTTTTTATTTTATCTTACATATTTTTTTGGTTTTATTAGCACGCACATACGGAAAATGATTATTAAAAAATGAAATCTATATATTCAATCTTTCAATATTCCTCTACTATTATCCATCACAAAATTGGATTCCCATACATTTTAATGATTCAACAATTTCAAAAGCTTAATTTCTATCAAAATTTTTTATGAATAAACGGTAACTTCTTCTATACACTGTTCAAAATGTAAAAGAATGTGAAAGGATGAGTAGACATTTTTAATTGTTATCACTGCATATAGTTTATTGTATATTTTATAAAATATTCCTGGTTTCGTTTTAGAATGGGGGAATTCTTCAAAAATTAAGAACCAAAATAGAAATTCTTTTGATCTCTTTTAAGTTCTTATACGGATAAAGGAAAAGAGTCCTTGCAATTTTTTAAGCTTTATATTTTTACATATAATAATTACATAAAAAATTCTTATAATATTTTTAATATCTACCTAAATTGATAAAATAAATGTGAATGTATTTGTTAATTAGAAATATATTTGTATAGGTTATGCTTTGACAGTTTAATTGTAATTTTGTTTCTCCACTGTTTCAGCATTTCTTGAATTTTTCAAAAAATAAATTACGTATTTATTTGCAACGAAAGCATTGTGTAATGCGTGTATAATTTTCAAAATTAGATCTAATTTACAATATTAAAATCGCATTTTAATAAATTTTTGAATTCACAAATTTAGCATATGTATGTCCTGTCCAAGGTTTAAGTTTTTGACAGCTTTATTATGTGCAAACTATATCATTTTAGTGTATAGTTCAGACGATATTCTTGTTCTCATTTACCAATGCTGGACAGTTTAATGTCGAAATTTTCAAAAAACTGTGTAAGTTATGTAACTTTTGACTTGTATAACAAAATTGTACATACTAAAATATTTATATAACAAAAACAACCAAGAAACCAACTTTTTGAATAAAACTTTCATGAAGCACGAATAATAGTTTTAAACAACTATATACATAATCAATATCACATTCAAAAATCAAACAGTTACGTCCGATTCTCAAGCTCAGGCCCGGCTCGACCGTGGATGCAGAAGATGCACGGCATCGGGGCGCCACTCTGAAAGGGTCTGAAAGGGCGCTAAAATCGAAAAGTGATTTTCCACTTAATTGTTTTTTGTAATTTTCCAATCCAAATTTTTTTTGAAAAAATTTTTGCTTAGCTCAAATTAAAAAAACACAAAAAAAAAAATGTAGTCGTAGTAGGCTTTTTTTTAAAAAATTTTTTTTTCGTTAAAAGCTTTTTGGTTTATAAAATACAGGCATTTTTCATTTTCGTTGCGATATTTTCAGTAAGAAAAAATAGTATTTTATTTAATATAAATAAAATATAATTTGTTTTGTGAAATACTTAATTTTAATTAGACATTAAAGTGTAAGAAAAAAGTGTAATTTGTTGGATAATACCATTTTTGTGAGTATAGTGATTTTTATCAATTTTATATAGATTTCAAATTATCAAAATTTTGCAACATCATTAGATAGACATAAACTCTTCTGAGTTATATAATGAACTTTTTATATTTAAAGATACCATAACGCCGCAACTAAAC